TCGGCGACATAAATATCAGCCTTGTAAAAATGATGTTATTGTGTGCTAAGTCACAGTATGTGGTTTCATAATGAACGCTTGAATCTTATGATCCACGGGCTATTTATTGTTTGAATTATACAACTCATGTACGAGCATGGTTTAGTATAGTTAACTGACGATTGACAACCAAAGTCGACTACAAGTACAACATGGTTAACTAAGATCCGATTACAATATGACCGTTACGAAGTAACACATGAGATACAGCGTTATAAATTTAAAGTATAAAGTATAAATATCTGTCTTAGTGACTTATGATAGCAGCCGCAAAATGCAAGCAAGTGGGAGATATTTGAGCATATGAGCTTTATCACACAATTGGAAACTCTTCCCGATAGCATCTTAATTTCTAAAAGACTAAATTTAAAAATCCCATTGCTAGAAAATAACGCAGATTTGGTCCTAGTGTGTTTTTGTAATGTTTTTCTACATGGAATCGAGAACACAGATGTAGGTAATCCTGGAGAGGTAGAATAAAACGTCTGAGTTAGCTTTCTCACGTCTGTGGAATATCAGAGGCCGAAGATTGTTGGGCGACATCGCATCAGAAAATAGAATTCGTGGGTACAGTCGATGTAACTACTTATTGGAAGAATAGATCACAACTAAGAGTACAAACCGGATTACGTCACCATTCGGGGATTAATAATACTAAGCATCCGAGATTTACCGTGGTTGCCAGGGAAATCTGGAAACAGATTCCATGCGAAATGCCACTGATATTTTCAGTTAAAAGTGGGGCTCAAAGTCTTGGATAGTTTCATGAAAACTTACACAGGTGAGGTCATTAAATGTTGAAAATCGAGAAATCCCAAAGATTTTTAGGCCTTATTATGAGTTACTATACTATCAGTGAGCAGGACGTCTGGTTCGCATTGCGTGAACAGTTTATTCGTCACGTGTGTTAGATCTACTTCTGAAACGTTTACATTGTATTGATTGCTTTGGGCTTTGCCATCTGATTTCATTTCTAAATAGCGCTCAATTTTTAGCTGCCGTAAACGCAGTGATCACCGCGGTAATATCCAATGCTTTGTAATGCCAACAGCAAGAAATGCAGGAGCTCGGAATCCACTTAGATGAACAGTGGCTGTAATCACGTGACTTGTTGCACAGGCAATAATATACTTTTTGGGAACTAAAAATGCGTGCAAGTAGAATGAACAGTAATAAAGTTTCCAACTGCAAGGTGGAATCCATATAAGCTCTCACGTGAGAAAATTTTTGCCTGGAGTGCGAATACTTACCGCTCCAAAAATTAATGTGGTCTTAAAAATGCAGTTTGAAAAATATGCGGAAAGCTTAAAAAACAATTTGTTTTTCCTTGACTAGTAAATAGCAGGTAATAAACTTGCTATCAAAATGACCATCTTCTTGAAATGTGGTGCACTATTTACTGTCTTTCTACTCGATACAAACTACTTCTTGCATACTTGAGAACGGGTTTTCTTGGCACCCGTGACTCGTTTACATTCTTCATAGAGTGAATATAAAGTGTTCGACCAATACTCCAAATTTCAAATCAATTTGTTCTTCGAAGGAGACTCTTGTTTATGCTATTCTCCAACTGAATGTGTTTTGCTAAACCAGCCTCATGTTCCAGTTCTTACGATATCTGAGATATCGCTGCATATTTCCTACGGAAATTGCTCGAAAACTACAAGATTGCCATCGAAGATTTTTCTATAATCATTCGAGTAGTTTCCTTCATGTAGGAAAAAAGATGCAGTGCCGTGTGTTGTATAATAAGGAGTTTTAATTACAAAATTAAAACATAAGTAGTGGAATAGGTTGTTGAAATCCGACGTTTCGGTTGCCGCGGGTGATCTTCCTCAAGGATTTCTACAATTTCAACTGAATACGAGTCAAATGCAGCGACATTTGGGTCTGCTACCACGTCTTGTGATTGGTGCATCCCTGTTATCGGTTTGCATTCAGATTGGGTCAGCGTGCGTGCGTGGGTTTCTGCGTACGAGTAAATGTGTGTGCACTCTGCTTAGGATGTGCATCCATTTGTGTTGTGCAGGTTGTGACGCGTCATTTTTCAGATCCTTGCTTGACCTCTAGTTACGTCTGCTTTGGTGTGCAATCCAGTCCAATCCAGGTTGCAAGGTCTATGCAGATAAAGTGCTCGAACATCTAACACTGGGTCCTTACGAAAAGATCGAAGCCGACAAAGTGCAACACTCAAAAAGATCAAACTGAGCGTTAATAAGTACCTACAACAGCTAAAACCCAAACGCGGACAAGCAGTATGCTTGAAAATCCAACAGACTGGGTAGATTCAATGGGTTACCAAAAATACACAAAAGGGGTAACCCCATACGTCCCATCGTGGACTATACTACTTGCTCAACTTACAACTTATCCAAATGCTTAGGCGAATTGCTAAAGTCACATTATCAGCTAATGGTAAGCCACGTGAATGACTTTTTCATTTTGGCAGTACCCTCCAGTCTACACAAATTAATGACGATGAAGTGGCAGTCAGCTTTGATGTGACAACTCTTTATACTAGCGTACCAATTAACGACTGTTTATCTTTTCTGTCCTATATTTCGTGTGACGACAAATCTCTAGCATACAGAACAACCCTAACCCCTGTTGATGTCATTGCTTATGTTAAACTGGGTCTAAGTGCCACTTATTTCACCTTTCAAAGCACGCCCTATAGACAAACTGACGGTGTCGCCATGGGCTCTCCAGTATCAGCCATGGCAACTAATCTCTTCTTGTACCCTATTAAAACTAAGACCTTAGGTGAATTCGCTCATCAACCATGCACCTGGGTAAGATATGTTTACGACATATTTACGGTTATATCAAGCACACAACGGCAAACCTTTCTAAACTGTTAGAATGAACGATTCAACAGTATACGATTCAGGATTGAAACTGAGAACGAGCAGGCGACCATTAGTTTCCTGGACTGCAAGCTCTCAGTTAACTCTAACCATGGATTCTCAGTGGGAATCCACTGTCCACTTTCAGACAGGTATTTACATTATGAATCTTTGCATCCATATCACGTCAAACGCGCAGTCGTCGGATCGCTGACGAATCGCATCAAAAAGCTATGCTCGGACGAATTTATACGAGCAGACAAACTGGCGCGACTCATTAGGGTATTACAGAAAAATGAATACCCCATGAGGCTCATTGCCCAAAAATGGGTACGACGGTAATCGGAGCGGTGAGACAGGAAGACAAAAACCTGATGTTCACCGTGATAATCCCCTACAGAGTTATCACTTCAGACGGCATTCGAAAAACTCTTCGAACTTATGATAGGAAAATATTTTTCCGAATTGACAACACGCTACAAGGACACCTCGTGAGGGCTAACGACCGAGTCGAACTGGAACACTGAACAAACTGCGTCTACAAAATTCTCTGTGCAGAATGTTTAGCAAAATACATAAGCTTCCAACAAACCCAATAGAGTTGAATAAAACCGGAACTCGACTCAGCTATTACGCTTCACGTACTTGAGTCAAACCACCAAATCAATTTTGATGCTACATGTATACTACAGTCAGGATTCAAGCCACCTGTGGAACGGACGTGCGCGGAAGCCCTAGAGATCAATATACAGCCGAAATTCATCAATCGGGTTGGTGGCGTCAGCATTCCGTCCGTCTGGATTGGACTTACTGCACACCTTGGCAGGCGTAGTAACCTGAGGTCTAACAAGGATCTGTTGTTATAACGGAGACATTCTAATGGGGGTTCATGAAACCAAGAATGTGATTCTATGAGAGTGTACCTAATTGGAACACAGCCTTAATAATTTGCGAAGTTTTTCTGTCTCACCAGAAGAAATTCGTTAGAGTAATACTTCAATTTTATTTCCGAAAAAATATTACAGAAGTTGGGATGTCCATGTTGAATTTCGTTTGTTGGAAAGTGGAATAAGGTTGTCGGAATTCCCCGTTTATGTATAAACCTGTCAATCTGAGATACTTTATGACCATATTAAAAGTATAATTGTTCGTGTGGGTTACACAGCATCCAAAGATAATGAACGTCAAATTTCTGAGCGCTTCTGCTTGATTTTCAGCTTCCGTTTATTTTGTATACTGATTGGGTCTGTAGCCAGGAAGTCAGGAATAATAATGAAATTTCACCTCCTCATTTTCAAAGGCCTAATCATCGTGTTCCTTGACTTTTCCTTGAAATCTTGTTCCACATGGGGAGAAAGATATCATTTGCAGCAATAGATTTTACCGTTTGTTGGTACGTAGGACCAGCTAGGAACTACCCAGTCCGGTTAATTGGTCTCATATACAGGCGTTATGAAGAATCTGAACTGAGCGTAAATGGGTCTTCATTTTGCATTCAGCCAGTGTTGAGAACCCGATCTTGTCAGGTGCATCGTTTAAGATCTGTAAGTGTAGTTTCAATATGGATAAGTATGGGAGTTTATTTACTTCAGGTTCCCTACATGAGGGTTCCAGTTTCCTAAATTTCCTTTGGTCAGCCACCATGTTGCAAGATGTTTAGGCACACACCTTATAGTTTACAACAGATCCAATATCCCAGCCCTTTTATCGATTATTCCTCGAAGTTGCTCAAAGGCGGTCTGGCTACTCAAAGGCATGTGGGATTTTGTTTCTTTACCAGAATTCTCATAACAACTTTAAAATTCCTTGTAAACTACTCCATGATTTAGCTCCGATGGATTTACTTGGAAATATCACCATAGAAAGTTCAACATTTCTGTTTTTCTATGTCTAAAATACATAGCTTCCCTTCAGATGATGGTACAGTCCTGTCATTTAATCTGATTGACAAGTTTCCTAAAGGCAGGTTATTTTCACCCCATACATTTTCTTTTCTACATGGTTGTTATTAAAAGTGACTTATATTGAAGAATTGGGTATTTCCATTATCCAGCACTAGAAGCTGCGTTGGTTGGGACATGTGTTGCGCATGACTAACCATCGTTTGACGAAGAGGGTGCAGTTTTCAATGCCCAATTCTTAGTGGCGGAAGAGAGAGGCGACTTGTCGTTAAGCTGGCAGAAGGGCTTGGAAGAAACCACGGAACGTTTGGGTGCTGCCGGTTTTATTCGCCTTCCAGGATGGGGACCACCTGATCCTCACTGCGCCTGGTGTAAGACGCTGCAAGATATGGCTTCTAACCGATGTCAGTGGTGATCTTGTTGTCAGTATCTATTCAGATTGCCTGAGTGAGTGTATGGGGGTTTGAACATCTCTGAATGGTTGTAGTGAGCCAGGATTAATTCCTTTTTTTCGTCCACCTTTATTCTTTTCTTCACAATAAGGCTTTCAACTAAATCATGGCTGCATGGCAGCGAGCCATCGGTGTTGAACACTGATGCCATGCTGTCGGTGAGGACGATAATGATATGAGCTCAACCACAGCCTTTATTGCATGTTCAGGTAAAGATGTTCACTCTCCAACATTTCGGCAGCCGCAAACCGGTTGTATCGGCCTCCAGGGTATTTTGTTATGACAGGCCTGTAACATTTGTCAACATATAAGCACGCCCCTCTTGTATTTTACATAGAAAGCGGTGGCTACTAATCAGCACAATTAAGTACAATTAAGATTATCTGTTTTCGACGACAAATCACTTTGAATTTGTTAGGCAGAATTGCACACGAATCCCGCTTTACCGCTCGCAGTCAGGTGTTGCTACGGCAGAGAAGCCTGTCCCACGCAAGACTGGCCAAACATTCGGGACGCTTGCCGGTCCGTCACCAAGCCGAGATCTGATTGGTCGAAAGTCTGGACCCAATCGTGAGCCAGTAATGCCTGAATGCCGGTTGCCAATGGCGCATCCAGAACGCGACAGAATTTCTAGAAAACTGTTACCGCTTAAGTTATATATATGAAGCGATATACGAGTGCTCCTGATTACGTTTTGGGCGTTAATATACCTTGTGTACCTTTGGTGGTTGTTTTTGACTTGAAAGCTAGCTTGGGAGACTCAGACCGAGAGATAAGCCGAGAAAATATCGTCACTACAGAATTTCACTCACACTTGATGCACACTCCCATCGTTGCTCCCCCTGAAATTGAAAACGGAAAGCACAAGCCACTTGATTGGAACATTTTTGATTAATTTACTTTGTTTCATTGTTATAGATATTCCATAGGGAGGTTAAAATACGAAAGTGTTATCCTGTATCATGAGTTAAGATGAGTTAACAGGCATGTGTATGAAAACAAACATCGAAATTCACAAACCACCAAACGTCTGTGCAATTTCATTTTAATGCATCTTCAGTACTCAGCACTATGACAAATCGATGAAGTATGGTGTTTAGGTCAACAATATCAGAATCACATGGTGGAAGTCGTCAAACCTACTTGGAACACCACACACAAACTCTCTGAGGTCATACATCTTTAACTGCATTGAAACCACTTGGCTCCCAATTGGATCCCTAAATTTTTCGAAACTTTTTGCTGTCGGATTACTTAGGTTACTTTTTTCTCGAAGTGATACTTGTTAGTCAGGCTTTACTGCCCTCTTGGTCCAAATTGCTCCACCTAAAAGCTCAACCGGAATAAAAAACTTCTTGTGAATAAAATTGCATTGAGTAAGTTTGGAAGCGTCCGAAATTGCCAAAACGACCTACGCATTTACACAGTTCATTGGTTAGTTTTTTCGCTCAAAAATATGTATTTTAGATGCCATTTAACATTCTGATAATGCAAGTGCGCCGATTTAAGCGTGCCGAGTAGCCTGCCGTGTATTATTACAAAATAAACAATGTCTGATTAGTTTACTCACTGTTTAAACCAAAGAGGCAAATCATATCTCTTCCCCGGACTTTCCAATAATGCGGTTTGTTTGCGGGGCCAACCTATGTGCTTGGAACGCATCAGCTTGACTGAAGGTTTTTTTCTTAGAAACACATTAGTAAGAATAAGTTTCTGCTCTTTGTTATACTTTCTTATGTAACTACTACACTGTACCGTGACGTCCTTTATTGCACTTGTCAGAGGTCTGAAAACGCATTTTGAGTGTTTGCTGATGGTTTACGAAGTCGTACTAAAGTAAAAGCCGGGGTGATTATTGTCCTATAAATTTCTCACATGCTGAAAAGTACTGCTGGAATTACACCCCATTTTGATTCTTATTTAGGCATCCTACCAAGCAGAATGGTATTCATCTCAGTACCGCTCAAGGACTCGTTAGATTTAGCTCACGCGGGCTGCTTTTTTACTCTAAAAAGCCAACTTCCTTGAGATTTATGGAGCTGTACAAGTGCGGTTAATTGACACCTGAAACGTTATAATAGGTGAATCAAATTTTTACCAACTACTGTTAATTATTAGTGACCATGGGAACACGTCTGTTGCACGCATTTATGCCGTGCAGGAAATGAAGCCCATTTTCTCGCTGTCAAGAGGCCTAGGTGTTTGAAGTCAGTCCGAATGGTTGAAAATGCTGCATGCAAAAACACACTCTAAAGGAGAGAAAACCCAAGAGGATTTCCGTCCAACAGAATCTTCTGACCGTAAAATAGTTTGTTTAACTTGATATCATATTAACCCTCTCATGACAGTGTACATACTTCGTGACTGGCAGCCTAGAGTCGTGATATGCTAATCCATACGACCAACTACTGTGGACAGGCTCCTTCAGCGATACTTATTTCCTTTGATGACTTCAACGGATGTAGAGCGCCATTTTTGCATTTAATTACGAAACGAAGTAGTCATACTCAGCCTACTTTTATGCGCTAAGGCTTTTTCTAAAACAATCTACTTACGAAAATTGATTAATTAAGCCTGATTACAGACAAAGTTATTTTTCTCTGTATGCAATTTATGAAACACGTATTGAGTTCAGGGACGACATATATCCTGGATAATGTGAAAGTAGTAGCTTTCAATAGATTAATGAACGCGATTATCGGCTTTAGACTTGAAAAAAAATGATCCGACATGTTTTGGTCCTGATGTGAAGTAAAAGCCATCGTTTTCTTCTGTGCTACGGACCACTCTTTCCAACTGTTGTTACGTNTTTCCAACTGTGTTACGTAGTAAGCCAACAAGCACATCGAATTGAGTTGACCTGTGATTCAATTAAGAGCTTTTGGATTTATTTAAAGCTGCACCCAAGCCGATTAGTGTATGAACCACCACATGGTAGTGAGATGGAAATCAACAAATTCAACAAGTAACTTACACACTGCCATGATTAAATATAATTGAATGTACAGTAGCCTTTGATCGTCAAAAAAAACCTGTCAGCAAATGCTGTTGAATACATATTACACTGTAAGCTACTTGTCAAAAAAGCCGTTTTTAGCCGCAACCATATTAGTGTGCATAAAATAGCAAAAAAACTGCCTATGAAAATGCCTATTCAACCTAAATACTGATGGTTGGTACAGAAAATCGCATAAAGTTGCATAAACTGGTTTTGTCAAAAGCCTGTTGTGCTCTGTTTTGTTTGGTCAAGCGAACAATACGTGATTTTATTTCGTGTAACCGTGCTAACCGAGGACGTTAGACAATGTGGTGTTTCACCTGAGTCTATCAAGTTTTGTTTCCCGATTGCCGGTTTGTTCTCGAATTTCCAAATTTAACTCTTCAGAAGAATGGAAACATTAGCACGTTGTGCACAAGCTGAATTGCAGCATCCCGATATGGCTGCTCACAGACGAAGTTGCCCCAATTCAGATTTGATCCAAACAATTCTTCACTAATAAGCCACAAGCACACTGCCTGCAATGAAATTTGATGTAAACTGCATCGCAGGATTGGTTGATGTAAATCGGAAGTACAAAATCATTTGGTTTTATTACAAAAATAGCGTGATATGTAACAACGTTCCGGTTGCTATCATTGAAATTCGGAAATTTATCCGGAAAATTACATTAGTTTGCCGAAAAATCAAAAATATACCTTCTGAACAAACTAGGTTCTAAGAATGACGGGTTTTGAACAGCGGTATTTCGACCACCCAGGTTTCCAGTATCCACTGAAGTAGAAAATTCAGAAGCACTGATATCGATCGCTAGTCGAAGATTCTATGGAAACAGGTGCTAGAGTTGTTTACATGTTGAGATGTTGCATTTGGCAACCGACCGGCCACTAAGCTCCACTATACTCCCTATAAACGTACTGGCGATAAAACGTTTGCAATCAAATTTCCCAGCTCAGCAAAAAAAACAATGATCAGCGATTTGCTAACACTCTCCTCAGTAGTTAATGAAGGTCCGAACATCGTTTAGGCCAATTCTGTAGTTATTCAAAATCACAAGTGTCCAAAAATTCCCCTAAATTACACGCAGATGCCCTTTGGAGATACACCTGTCCATAAAAAATTCTTTTATATTTTCTCCAACATCATTGGCCAGAAACCATCCTAAAACTATGGCTGTGAAGCCATAAAACATCAGTGTCTGTGGGATTTAAACTGTTTTACATTTAGTGAAATTACTTCGGAGGATACCTGAAGTCTGGTGCCGATTGAAATGTTGACACTCTTGCATCAAATGTGTACAAGACAAGCTGTTGAGGATGTTTCCTATGTATCACTTTGAAACCACATTAGTGCTCATCATATCATTTAACACTCCTGGCCGGGACAAACTAACTACTCACCAGAAAGTGCACATCAACCATTGTATTACACAAGAAATCAAGTTTTCTCCTCTGTGAGAAGCACCAACTGTCCTGAATTTACCCTGCACCCTCATAGCGAAAATATTCTATGCAGCCCTTATATAAGCAATCCAAATTTTTTTACTCTATGTGCCCTACAAATACCAAAGGATTTTTGAGAAGTAGAACCATATTTGTAGATCTACCGCATAGGTCTCAGGAAATAAACCCTTATTTACAAAAAATGTCACTTCTCCGGTTGCACACTGGAGCCCATTCAACAGGCTTTGACTAAGCTGCATGAAAATATTCATGTTTTTTCAGTACTGTTTTCCCAAAGCGTTGGATTCCCTGTAAAAGGTAGCAGTTGTCATATTTCTTAAATTCGGTATAAGTTGGCTTACGGTCTATTTTGAGAACATTTTGAAAACATTATCACACTGAGGCCGAAACTCATTGAGTGTATGACGAATCAGCTGCATCATCAGTCTAACAAATTATTGAAGCCTACTGCAACGTCATGAGGAATTCAATGCTCTGTCTGTGATTTCTTAAAGGCTGCTAACAGAATTTTAACCACAGGTCACCTTGCGACAAGAATTTACTTCCCTTCTGTGTAAGACTCATCCCCCAATTCCTTATCGTTCCTACTGCAAATGAGGAATTCAATGCTCTGTCTGTGATTTCTTAAAGGCTGCTAACAGAATTTTAACCACAGGTCACTTTGCGACAAGAAAGAATTTCCCTTCTGTGTAAGACTCATCCCCCAATTCCTTATCGTTGCTATATACACATATATAAGCGAATTATATATATATATATATATAAAATATAGCCTCCAGCTTTCACAGCTTGGCTCTTCCCATTACCCAGTGATACACACCGCATTAACATTTGAGCAGGTTCCGTAAAATGAGGGGCACATTCTGTGTGCAGTTTTTACTGACTAACATGAACTAAGGCGTTATCGCCTATCAGAAACGGGAATAAAATCCCCATTGACATAATTTTTGGAACGTGAACCTCCCCAAGCTTTCTCGTAAATTTTACTTGAAACTGTTTGAGTAATATATATATATATATATATGTATATATCG